AAAGGAGCATCTTTCGAATTTCATTCCCATATCGAAGAATGAGGGAAATGGAAATAACTTTACAGATGTATATAACCACGCCACGACGGCAGTCGGGATCCGGCTCTCGACGTCAACGCGCCCGTCCGACTCTCCACGTTTAATGATTCCGTTCGACTCTACGCTTTTCGTGATTCCAGTATTTGTTCCTATTATCTGTGCGACCTTGCACGGCCATACAAGGGCACCCTTTGCTGAATTAAAAACTTAGGCTGAAATTTCTTGTGAGAATTGTTTTGTTTGACAGCGATTCACTTGATAGCCTGTTTGAGCGTTTTTGTGGCGGTGCAGTTCTTCTCAGTAAAGTACTTCCTGTTAATTGACCTCGTTCCCGTAGGTCCACCACACAAGCACATGCATACACATATAGATCACTTGTGTCAAGTAATCACGAAATCAATTGCGTATCTTGCAGTTGAACCTCTCCAGCACGCATACACATATTTTTACGTTTGCTAAAAAAATTGAAAATAACCTCAGCCGGAAGCTAATGACGAAGAAACGGTCAGAACCGGGCGGGCCCGTGCAAACATGCGTTTTTGCAATAATTCGTACTGTGATAAGGTCACTCAGAACCTAGTAGCTAGGATTTGTCAGGTACTAGTCCTCAAAGTTCGAGAAGTTAATTGTCTACGCGGTACTTGGAAAGGGGACGTCCCGTTAAAATTTCAGCTTCCCAATTTCTCCGGTTCATGAATTAGTAATTTTCTTGCCAAAAAATTTGACGGGTCCGTACATAAAAACCACACGTGTCTGGGAGCTGAATTTGATATCTTTAATTTCTATGGGAGCTGGGAACATACCCTTAAAATTTCAGCTCCCAGCTTTCCTATTGCCAAAGTTAACCATCTTTCCGCCAAAAAATTGTACTGGGCCGTACTTGAGAACCACGAATGCCTGAAGGCTGAATCTGATAAATTTTCGTTGTACATTAGCTGGGAACATTGCCTAAGAATTTCAGCCTCCTAGCTTTCCTGGCTCCCGAGTTAACCATTTTCCCGTCGAAAAATTTCACGAGGCCGTAAGTGATAACCATGCACGCCTGCGGGCTGAATTCGGTGATTTTAAGTTGTACATTTGCTGGGAACATGCCTTGAAAATTTTAGTTCCCACCTTTCCTGGTTTCCAAGTTAGCAATTTTCTCGCCAAGAATCCTCACGGGACCATGTACGGATACCACGCGCACCCAGGGGCTGACTTTGAAATCTT